GCAGCCAATCATGGGGTGACATGTCCAAGGCGGCGGTTGCCCTCCTTTATTAGGGGACGGGCTTCTTGGTTCAGGGTCTCCGCTCTGGGAAGCTTATGCTCTCCACTCTCAAGATGCATTAAAGCTTGTCTGCAGAAGGATCCGAGTGTCCCGTGTATGATTTCTTGCTGGCGAGAAATACAGAGAGCGCGCGGGACAGAGAGAGAGAGAGAGAGAGAGAGAGAGAGAGAGAGAGAGAGAGAATGGTTTGTGCTTGCATTCAAGAAAGCTTGGCAAGATGGGTTGCAATCATTTATTGCTGTCTGCCTTTGGACTTAAGTTGGGGGTTCAAACAGATTTTTACATGTGATTTTAGTATGGGTGTTGATCTTTTCCCATTTTATTTTCTTTTACTGATTATAAATATGAAAGGTAAACACAAATGCTAGGGAAAATATTGTTGTAATGAGAAAAATATGAACTCTCTTTGCTTATTCGACCAGCCTACAATAAGCACAAAATTTCAGTATGTCTAGTTTTAAGCTCTTATGCAGATGTGTATATTGGGCACATATTTATCATACTTAGTATAGTTTTGCTTTTTCATATATTACAATATGAGCATCTTTCTAAGTCATTAAATGTTCTTTGAAAATGTGGTTAAAGTGCTGGCTGTATAAGCATGGTGATCAGAGTTCAGATTCCCAAACCCTGTGTAAATTCTGAATAGACATCGTGGCTCCCCTTTGAATTCCAGTCTCAGAAAACAAAAATGGAGCAAGTTAGCTAGTGAGAATAGCTATATCAGTGAGCTCTGGGTTTGATTGAGAGACATTGTATTAGTAAATAAGGTAGAAGAGAAACGGAGAATGATTGCTGGCATCAACCTTGAGCCTCCACATATACATACACATACATCACATGCATGTGCACTCACACACTTGTGCCCTCACACATGTGTACACATGCATACACCACACCAAACACAACACACAAACATACACAAATATGGAAAATATTCTTTGAATATTTTTTCACTGATTATATAAAGCTCCATAGTATATATCACCATTTTCTTCTAAGATATGTTTGTTGCTTTAAAAAAATATAGTGTGTGTGTGTGTGTGTGTGTGTGTGTGTGTGTGTGTGTGAATATGTGTATAATGTTCATACAGTGCCTGGGGAGGCCAGAAGAGGGTTAGAAGTTACAAGCCGTTGTGAGTCTCCATATGCCAGCACTGGGAACTGAGCCAGGGTCTTCTGTAAGAACCACTAGTACACTTAACTAACACTGTGCCATCTCTCCAGCCCCCAAGAACTTGGTGCTGTTCTAGATAATGACATAATGAAATCTTTGTATGTCAATATTTTTACATGTGCCTAGACATCTCCTTGAATCAGATTCCTAACATCAAAGTAACATGTTTCAGACTGTGATTCAGATAATATTGCTGGTGTTTTTCTTTGAAGCTGAGGAAGCCTTCGCTTCTGCAGCATTACAGGAAGAGGGACTGTGGCATTCCTGCCTTCATTGCAGTGGGGTTTATTTTCAAAAACTACTCAGTGAAATGGCAAGTGTGTTGTAACTGTCATCCAAGGGAAATTTTTTCGGAAGGAACCCTACAGTGTTACCATTTCTGCCCACTTGTAAGGACTAAGTTACCATTTCAGATATAAAGCTGTTCCCTGATGAGTGAAACAAGATTTCTATCCATGAAAATCACTGACAGTCATCTGATACCACTGCTATAGACGTAAGTTAGGATCTTTAAACGATAGACGTTAAATAATTTTACATGTTAAACAGTACATTTTGTTTATTACGTGTATGTACATGCATCATAATGCACAAATGGAGCTCAGAGGACAACTTTTAGAAATCTGCTGTCTCCTACCTCATGAGTTGCAGGGATCAGCTAGGGTCTCGGGGCTTGGCAGCAAGTGCCTTTACTTGCTGAGCCTTCTCACCGGACTGTATCTTTATTCTTTAGAAATGCTCATACCAAACTGAAATTGCATGGCCTTTTCTCCTATCATGTTTTAGAGTCTTATATGGTGGCATCAATCCCAAATAAATCCCCTACTTATCTGCCAATAGAACAGTTAGACAGATATTTGAAATATATAGGGGTGTTGCATTGTGTTGTGCCACTGTTTGGAAATTGTTTTTAATATAGCATGTCTCTTAAAAACTATTAACAATATTTTATTACACTCATACTTTTCAAAATGGTGTGTCCAGTCGGCGCAACCCCTTTCAAAATATGCATGACTTTCTACATGGAACTTTAAAAAGGCAACTCTAAATAAAGATCAATTACCGAAACAATCCTGACCAAAAAGAACAAAGCAGGAGGCATTACTTTGCTTGGTTTAATACAGTACAATATGCAGCTGTAATATAGTAATTACAGTGGCATATACTTGTATAACAGCAGACACACAGACCACTGTAAGAGCCTGCCTAGAAACTCATACATCCACAGCCAGCTGATCTTCAGTAAGGCTGCTGAGAACCATGCACTAGGGAAAGGAATGTCTTCAATAAACGGTGCTGTGAAAACCGGACACTCAAGTATAGAGGAGTCATTGCAGATCCCTCTCTCCCCACATTCAAAAAGCAATTGGAAATGTAAGACTTCAAATTACCATAAGAAAATACAGGGGAGATTCTTCAGGACATTGAAATGGGAGAGCACTTTTTTTATTATTACATTCCAAAAGCACAGAACAAAAGCAAAAATTTATAAGTGAGATGATATCAAGCTAAAAAGCTTTTTTTTTTTCATAGCAAAGGAAACTATCAGCATAATGAAGAGAAAACTTTCAAAAACAGGAGAAAGTGTTTACAAACTGTGAATCTTATAGGGGTTGTGCCCAGAATGTATAAGGAACTGAACACTTAAAAAAATTGATTGGAAGGGAGTGATAGAGCTCAACAGGTTTTTCTCAAAACATGATGAGCAAGTTGCTAACAGATGACGTGAAAATCTTCTCCACCTCACTAATCATTAGGGAAATGCAAATGAATTACAATAAAATATTACCTCTTTCCAAGTAAAATACTATTATCAAAAAGACAAAACAAGAGCAGGCAAGGATGGGGAGGAAAGGGAACTCTTGTTTACTGTTGGGGGGATGAAAACTAGTCAACCACGATGGAAAACACATGACTAAACCCAAGACTAGAATTAGCATTCATCTTACCATTGGGTACATATTCAATGGAAGTCAAAGACATGTCAGCACTCTATGTTTATGGCAGCACTGTTTGCAATAAAAAAGAAATAGAAACAACCCAGGTGATTAATGACGAAGAAAAGTCATGAATACACATTCGTATTTGGATGTATAGTGAAACTTGGATACCCAAACCTAGAGTATTCAGAGTACTAGCCAGACATTGAAAGGGGCCAATCCCTCCTGTCTTTTGCATCAACAGAGATGGAATCATGTGTTAAAGCCAAGAGCAAAGACAAGTAACACAAGATCTCCCACATACATGAAATTTAAGAGAATTGCTCTTGTGGGGGGTTAGATTAGAAGGGTGCTCACCAGAAGCAGGGTGATTAGAGGGTGAGGAGACAGACAAGAAAGACACTGATAATTGAAGACTAGGCCACAGTGAGATGAGAGACAAGCTATGGGGAGCCATTGCAATGGTGTGCTAGAGACAGCAGCAGTCTAAAGTATGTTTCACAAGGCTTGAAAAGGGGATCTTGACATTTTCACCATTAAGAAATTATAAAATGTTTAACCTGATTTAGATACACATACGTGTATCAAAATATTATATGGCACTGCGATAATGTGTATATTTTGTTTTTAATTTTAAAAACTTATTTTATGTATATGAGTGTTTGCCTGCATGAATGTATGTGTGCCACATGTGTGCCTGTTGCCCAAGAAGGTCAGAAGAGGGCACCAAATCTGGAACTGGAGTTACAGATGGTTACGAGCCATCATACAGGTGCTAAGAACTGAACCCAGGTTCTCTACAAGAGTAAAAAGTGTTCTTCACTGCTGAAATATGTTTGCAGCTCCCCATTTTTGTTTTTAATTGCCATTCACAATATTTAAAATTGATATGATATAAGCAAAGCTTTACAAAGCTTACCCTTTTATCAATAGGATACATAATTTAAGAATTTAATATCACAAATACTTATCACAAAAGTTACCCCAACCCTTCTTCGCACCCAACATTCAACTAATCTATAAGTAGGACAAATTAATGATTATAGCTTAATTTGAATAATGTTTTATTCTAATTTGAAATATTTTTCAACCATTTTGTTGATTTGTTTTGGTTTTTTTCCACAAGTTTTTGCTGTGCAGCCTGTGTTGTCCTCAGTTTCCCCAGGTCTAGGAGTCTGGATGTGTAGCTTGATGAAACCTTTTAAAAATTTACTTATTCAGCATTGCTCTTCACATACATTATCTCTTACAGAATAACATTCTGCCTGTCTCCATTTGTGTGGTGTACAAGAACAAAGTATCACAGACTTCCTGGCTTATATGACAGGCATACAGTCTCACATGACACTTCATAGTTCTGGAGGCCAAAAGTCTAAAACAGTCCTTGCAGACTCTTAACTTCTTTGTGGATCTTAAAAGGCCTGTCATCTTGTTATGTCTTTACATGGAAACAGTAGCAAAGAAAACTCAGAGATCAGCTGATCTCATTGCAAAGGGCCCTGCTTTCATGATCTCATAGCTTCTCCACATGTGGCCTGGGAAAAGATTCAAGGTTCAGCCCGCAGCACTACCTTAAACCAGAGGCTTCAAACAAGAGTCACTTTATAATCTCCCACAACCCTCTAGGTGTACCATGCTCTACCGAGTCATGTGGAGTTCAGCTTGTAGTCGCTTGGGATCTTTGTGGAACAAAGGCATTGAATGTGTTCTCTCAACTCTCTGGTACCTCCACAGGGCTGACAGGGGCTGGATGGCTTGGAGCCTCCTCTTTCCATACACTCTCAGAACCTCTCCTTCACATGCAAACATAAAGAGACTTCTTACACTGTAATTCAGTTGCCCAAAGCACAAAGGAAGAGGCTGCTTCTGAAGATTTCGGTCTCCAACTGCCATCCATTGATCCATCACTGAAGGTTTCAGTCTCAGACTGCCAATCATTGGTCCGTCACTTCTGCCATATTGCTTTGGTTACAGTAAGTTGCAGGTGAGCTCAGGTTCAGGGTGGCTTGGGGCTGCACAGGATTGGTGACGTTGGGAGGCACACTGATCACTGATGGCCATCTGTGAAGACTAACACACTGCTTTCCGCACATTCATTTTTAAAGGCGTTTCTAGTTGCAGTTCCCCATGGCTAATGAGGACCTCCCGCAGCTTTAATCACTTTGGTGGGCATTTCCAAAAACCTAATGAGCTCTGATGTCAATCGAAATAGTCAATCTACTTTTAACAATCCCGGGTCTCAAGTGCAGGAATTCATTTATAAGCAAATTAGAGCTTCAGTTTGATTCATAAACTTCAACCCCCTATTGTTAGTTTTTAAAAAGAACAAGTTCAGGTCCATTTGGCTGTGGGTACTAAGAAAATATTTGGGAAATAATTCAAAGTTCATAATAATTCCAAACAGTTAGATGGAGCTTTATAATTTGAATAGTGCTTTGGGGTATTCTCTTACTTGCCTTTTCCTTTTGATCTTGTATGGTAGTTCAGGAGAATGTTTGAGTTTTCAAGTGAGGAAAATAGCTCATCACAAGCTGTTAAGTTTTCCTCAGAGAAGAAACATCAGAGCCAGGACCCATTCTCCTTGTGTTCTCTTAAACGTTGAAGGGCCTGAATATGAAATCCATCCTCCTATAGTGTGTGTGTGTGTGTGTGTGTGTGTGTGTGTGTGTGTGTGTGTGTGTGTGTGTGTGTTATATTTTAAGGTCTTTCGCTTAAAGAATAAACTTTGAAATTTGGACTGCATTGGGAACTCATCTTTCCAACCCTTCATTTCACAGTTAGGAAAACAGATTCAGATTGGTTACGTCTCTTACCCCAAATGACACCATCATTTAGTGGAACAGCCAAGAACTATGGACTCTGAAACCTGCTAATTTTCCAGCTTCATTTGTGCCCTTGAAGAATAGATTTCTAAGTAAATTCATGTGAAAATGCTGGATGTGATGGTTCATTTCTGTAGTCCTAGCACTCGGGACACTAAGACAGGAAGATAACCATGAGTTCAAGACCAACCCAAGCTTCATAGTTAGTTCCAGGCCAACCTGGGCTTCTAGGATTCTGTCTTGTAAAACAAAAGAAAGAATAACAAAAAAGAAGGAAGAAAGGAAGGAAGGAAGGAAGGAAGGAAGGAAGGAAGGAAGGAAGGAAAGAAGTGGAGAAGGAAATAAGAAAATGCTGATATTATATATTTCAGATACTAATTTATGATTTTCCAGGAATTAAATGTGAACACTTTAGTTCCTTAGTGATTGAGTACAGATCAAAACCAGCTTTAATATCTGTTCAGAGTATTGCAACTTCTGGGCAACAACCTCTTGCTTCTATGAATGAAAATCTAAGGACTAAATTCAATGTAGAGATTTCTTTTCTTTTCTTTTATTAATTTTTTTGTGCAAGGGAACCACACCAAGGACCTTGTGGCCTTCTGCTTGCTAGACAAGCATACTACTACTGCACTGATTCCTCCAACTCCTGGTATGAAATGTGCTCTGTGATAAAAATGAAGTCGTAACTGGCCTTCTGATGACTGGTGTATGTTTTGCTTTCAGGATTATTGTTAGTGTTGAAATCAAAGTATTTCTCCAAGGATTCTCCCAGAATCCAGGGTGGAGGCTTCTCCTGAAGGAAGGGCATAAGATGTGACTGCCAGGCAGTATGGACTGTTATGTTTGCTCAGACTCTGGGATGTCACCAGTGCACATCATACTTCATTTTGACTTAAGCAAAGACACCACTTTCTTCCCCTTTCCTCCTCTCATCTTCCATTGCCTCCCCCGGCTTCTCCTCTTTTTACCTTGTTGTCTTCATGTCAAGAGTATGACTTTAGTTGTTTCACTAAACAGCGAGCTAACAAAATCAACAAGGCAGTGACCACAATCTGCACAGAGTGTGGTATAGAGTTGCCCAACTGGCCCATTTTGATGGACCTAGAGTTAGTTCTCTGAACCACTGTGTTTTACCTATCTCACAGTTTGAGGAATGTACTGAGTTCCATTTACATACTTTGCTTTCCCTCCCTCCCCTGCCTCTCTGTACAGGACATGATACCCAGGCCTCACCCGTATGCATTTTAAGCAAGGGCTCTACCATTGAGCTGCCTCTCTAGCCCTTTTTGATTGTTAGCTTGAGACAAAGTCTCACTGAACAAACTGGCCTCAGACTCACACAGTGGCCCAGACAGGCCTTGAACTTAGGATCCTCTTGCCTCAGCCTCTTGAGTAGTTGTGTCACCATACCCTGCTAGATCTTTCCTTAATCCAGCATAAGTACATGGGATAGAGAAAAGGCAGTAGTTGTGTGCAAGATGGACTCCTAGGGTCGCCCTTGTACAGCAGCCAGACCCATACTGTTTCAGAGAGGCTGTGTCACAGATTTGAACCTTTCCATGATGGAAGTATTCAAACAAGCTTTAAAAAATATTATATAGCTGTTAAAATATTTTTACCACAAATCAAATGTCAGCTTTAAGTGCAGTGTTTATGGAGTACTGCTATCCTGTGATGTAACACATAAAAAATAGAAGTGTTGATATATTTGGGCCATTTATTTGCAGGGTATTTTTTTAGTACCAGCAAGACCAGTTAGAAAGTCCCATCTGCTCTTCTGCTTTTTTGCCATCTCAACTGGTGTCATTTCAGACCAAGCCACCATCTGATTTTTTTTTCTTTCTTTCTGCATTATAGCCATACCCTACAGGTCTCTGCAGGGACATGGCCTTGGTTCCATCTCTTCTCCCTCATCAGTAAGGGTTTATTCATGGAGAAAAGATGAGTGAAATGCAGCAGAGGGTTTCATAAAAGGCATTAGACCTTTCACTGTTGTGGGAGAAGTCCAGTTAGGGAATTTTAAATCATTTCAGAAAAAAAGTCAGTTTGCCAATTTGACTGTTATATCTAAGTTGAAGTACTAATGGCTTCAGTTAGCTCTAGGGCTAGCACACCAGTGTAGAAACAGGACAAAGTCTGGTGTCTACAGTGTGTAGAGGGTGTGTGTTTAAGAGTTCCCACTTGCCTGTACAAAATATCCAGACTTCCAGATGTCCTCTCTCCTCTGAAACATGAAGGCAACCTTGTCAGTTACTTTTCTCACCAATGTGGCAAAATATGACATGAATCACCAAACAGGAAAATGAAACATTTCTTTTGATGCATTGTCTCAGAGAGTTCAATCCACGTAGTCCCTGGGACTCTTGATTTGGTAGTACTGACCTTCATGGCTGAGGGAAAATGTGCTAGAGGAGGCTGTTCACCTTATTGTGGCTAGGAAACATAGAATTAAAGGGCTTTGGGAAGGAGACAGGAGAAGATATGGCCTCTAAGAACATGTACAGCCAGTAGCCTGCTTCTTCCATGTTGGCCCCGCCCCTACCAACTCCCCCAAATGCCACCATTTATGAATCCTTTGGGGCTTAATCTGTTCACTGGGTCAGTGCCTTTATGATCTAATTGTCTCTGAAAGGTCCTCACAGATGCAGCCAGGTATGTGATTTCCAAATAACCTAGGTGCATCGAAGTCAAATTAAGTTGATAAATTAACCATGACCATAACTGAAAATGATATTCAACTTAGGTAGACAGAACACACTTAAACATAATGGCCAGACCAAAATAACTGTCAAAATTCCAGTGAAACTGAATAGAAACCAAAGTTATATCCAGACTTTTTCCTCCCCACCACATCTTCTGTCATGAAGCAAACTTTTTATATATCTTATAAAAGTTAGTATATGCATATATTTATAAGTAATCAAGTCACACTTACTATCTCTGTTTTCGGCTGTGGTATGGCAGTGTTGTTCAATTCTCTTACTCTCTTCTTGTCTTCCTTTTCTTGTCAAGGTTCTCTTTTTATTCAAGGCCTAGCAAGACTAGATGGGTTGACAGACATAGTGGCTCACACCTGTATTTCTGGGACTTAGGAGTCTGAGGCAGGAGGATCACCATGAGTTCAAGCTAGTATAAGCTACAGAGTGAGACTTGGTCTCATAAAACAAAAACAAATTTTAAAAAAGGTTAGAAGGGAGTTGGGCAGTGGTGGTGCATGCCTTTAATCTGAGCACTTAGGAAGCAGAGGCAGGCGAATCTCTGCGAGTTCGTGACCAGCCTGGTGTACAAAGCTACACAGAGAAATCCTGTCTCAAAAAATTAAAAAAGAAAAAAAGAAAGGTTAGAAGGGTTATTATGTGTTAGTTACTTGTCTTGTTGCGCAGACAAAGCAATATGAGGAAGGAAGGATTTATTTGGGGTTAGATTGATACCATCCATCAAGGCAGAAGCACTTGGACTTCGTCTGGTCAGACCACACCAACAGCAGAGAAGCAGAGAAAGATGAATGATGGTGTTCATCTAGCTCTCTTCTTTGCCATGTGGTATCCCAGCCGGTGGCATGCCTCTGCCCACAGTTTGGCTTGGGCTTCTCATCTCAATTAACCTGATCTAGGTAATCCTTCAGACACACGCCTGGAAGCTTGACCCTTAATGATTCCAGATCCTGTCAAGTTGAACATCAGTATTAGCTACCCTAGGCTGTTGGTGTTGCCTGGACTATTATAATGCTTGCAGAGTACCCTTTCATACATTATTCAGATTTCACAGTTGATGTGGAGCAAAGCTTTTGTCAAACGTGTGTATAGATCCAGCTATCCTTTTTCAATGCAGATGTGTATAATGTGGAACTTTCTGTGGGAGGCTCTGGAAAACACTGGAAGCCTCCTTTTGTGTGGGTGGTCACTCCCCTCTGCACAGATGTGCCCTGCCACTCTCATCCTTTACTTGTCATTCCTGGTTATACAAGTGCTCATCTTTATGATGAAAGATCATATGTGCTGGGCGTGACTTCCAGACAGAACACAGACAGAAACGGGCTTCTTAGCCACATTGGAACCATGAATTCCTGGTCTGTGTCTTGCTCCACTCAAAGATGCCTTCTCACTTAAAGCAGTGCTGCCTGCATTTTGTTCCTTAATCTTTTCTTATCCTCTGTGTGTGCGTGCCATTGTATGTGATCACAGAAGAACCAGCCAGCTCTGTTTGAGAGCATTAGAGGAGTTTCCCAGAGGGGATGACATTTCTTAAGCAATTTTTTTTTCAACAGACTCACAGCTTGTAAGCTTGAAGCATACCATGTTGATCTTTCAAATACACATCAATTAAGTATATAGTTTGATACTTCTCTAGTAGATGTGGTGGTGTTTTATCCATTTATCCTAATTTCCGCTCCCCTCTGTGACTCTCCCAAACACATCTGTAATGCTATCAGCCAGAAGGAAGGAAACAGAAAATTAACCCATGTGGAGGATTGAATCTATTATTAATAGTGCTGTGATCTCATCAACCAAATAAGTAACTACAGACTGTTTATTTTTAGTAGCAAAGAATAAAGCTTTGAACAGTCAGTCCCAGTCTATAATCATACCACCCCCCCATGCACCTCGCTTCTGAACAGTGAGATCATCAGTGAAAAATATTTCCTGTGTGGGGTCTTGCAAATGAATGGTGATTTGCTGAGTAAATTCCATGCGTTCCTCGTGGCCTTTGTGTGTACAGATTAATGTTGGAAGTATGGTTTGCCCAAAAGCACTGTCAAACAAAACTCATTGGTCACACTGTTTACAACCCTGAAGTTCTCTGTGAAAAGTATAAATCAGTCACTTATGACTGTCAGTAAATTTTCCCAAACATCCAAGTTCAAGGTTATTGAAGTGACTGGATAAAAATTGACCTATAGTTTGTAAAAAAAACCTTTCCCCCTGACCTCTGACTTTGTTTTCAAACTCTGTACTGTGCCCATTACATTTTTTACATTTTTTCTTTTATTGAAAATACATTTTTCATATAATATATTCTGATTATGGTTTCTTCTTCCCCAACTACTCCCAGTTCTTACCCATCCCCCACATCCAGATCCATACCCTTTCTTCTACAAAAAGAAGTAATCTAGTCAAAGTGCAAAATAATGATACTCTTTGCTGACTACAGGCCATGTGCCACTTGTACCAATGTTTTATGTATAGTTTCCTATGGCGTTTTACTTAATTCCTACTCAATTTGATTGCTATGCAATGTAGAGTCTCTAATTTACTTGTGAGAAACCCAGACTCTCAGATAATGATAGGATGGGGCTAGAAGATGCTTCCATGTCTAAAGTGCTTTCCCTGTAGGGCATGAGGACCTAAGTGCAATTCCCAGAACCCACCTAAAATAGATGGATGTTTTAGTAGGCATTAGTAATGCCATAATCAGGCTTAGTCATAGCTAGATTACTGGAGCTTGCTATTTAGCCTTCTTTGTGAGCTCCAGGCCAAGGAGAGACCCTGTCTCTAAAAACACAGTGGATGGCTTCAGAGGAATGACACCTCAGTTGACTTCTGACTTCCACATGCTTAGGCCCAAACCTGTATACCACCTTCACACATATAGAGAAGGCCTCCGAAGATATGGCAGAAATAATCTTAGAATATTTGTTGTAGGAACACTTTGAAAGCTTTAAAAGCTACTCTGTTCTCAGTCCCCAACCTGTTTCTTCCAATCCTGTGAGCATATCTGGCTGGTCCCCTGGATGGAGTTTCACTTCTGGTAGTGCCGCAGTGGTCCTGCCCTCAGCTATGGGGTATCTGTTCACCAGGTTCAGTGTCATCTTCTTCATCCAATCCCTTCTGTTAGGGATGTACATTGAACATGGGAGTGCTGAAATCGGAGTTCACTGTCATTGTCACTGAGAGAAACATGGGCAAGCACTTAATCTGTGCCTGAAAGGAAACTACATAGGGGACAAAGTGGTCCTTGCTCTTTTAAGAGACAGCAGGTGATTTCTGTTTTAATAGTGTTCTAGCTTCGTATCTGTTGCTGTGATAAAATACCCTGATACAAAGCAACTTGGGGGAGGAAAGGTTTCTTCTGGCTGTGATTCCAGGTGACAGTCCATCACTGCAGAGAAGTCACAGAGGCGAGTGCTGAGACAGATGGTTACATCACGCCCAGTCAAGAGCAGAGAGAAATGAACACATATCCAATTGTTTGCTTGCTTGTGCTCAACTCAATTTCTTCACTCTGATATAGTTCAGGGTTCCCCTGCCTGGGGAATGAATGTTGCCACTCATCTTGGTCTTCTCATGCCTATTAATGTAATTAAGATAATTCCCTACAGACACACACACACACAAACTAACCCAGTGTAGACAATTCCTCACTGAGATACTCTTTCCAAGTGATCTTAGGTTGGTTCAAGTTAACATTTAACTTCTCACCATCACAGATAGCATTGTAGTCACTTTCATTATAACAATGACAATTTATTTCTAAGTTATTTTGAAGGGTTACTTTCTGTGTGCGCTAGACGATAAACTCTTGAAAGTGAAATGGTTTGTTTCTTCTTACTTTTGACATTTTAAAAAACTAGCTATGCATTTGTTCCTCCCCCAATTATTTTGGGGTCTCGTCCCCAATGAAGCTGTGAGGGTTGAGGATTTCATGTTATGCTTTTGACACATAACAGGTCTCCAACAGTAGTTCATTCTCTTCAGTAGCATATGGGTAGCACCATGAGTAGACGCCCCTGTATATTTCATTTGGGTGAAAAGTGATGAGATAATATTAATACATGAATAGTTTTAATGGAAGTTATCCATTATGAAGGAGAATGGTTTTTGTTGAAGTACCCAAGAAGCATACTTATAACTGGGACAAAAATAAGTGAAATATAAAAATGAACTGAATATCAAGAATTTTTCCAGTAAATAAATTTGGAATTGATCCATCAGAGGAGACCTGGTGGAAATGACTGGGGACATCTTATCTATACATCCCCCTTGAGGGAGATGGCAAATGAGGTTATATCTCTAGTTTCATTGATTCTCCAGACTGGCACATTCACAACCCTGCCCTCTACAGACAGATTGCATGTTTGTGTTAAATGTTCTAATTCTTGTTTCCTATTTCCTCTTTAGAGTAAATCCTTGGGCCACTTCCAGAAATGTCTTCCTTAAGTGGGAAAGTGCAAACCGTTTTGGGTCTTGTAGAACCAAGCAAACTGGGACGCACCTTGACCCATGAGCATTTAACAATGACCTTTGACAATTTTTACTACCCACCTCCTCCATGCCACGAAACTACCTCCAAGGAAACTATCATGCTGAAAAATTTATTTTGGATTCAGAAAAATCCTTATTCCCATCAGGAGAACCTTCAGTTGAATCAGGAGACAGAAGCCGTAAAGGAAGAACTGTTATATTTCAAGGCTAAGGGTGGAGGAGCCTTGGTGGAGAACACCACCACTGGACTCAGCAGGGACGTGCAAACACTGAAGTGGCTAGCAGAGCAAACTGGAGTCCACATCATAGCTGGAGCTGGGTTTTATGTTGATGCAACTCACTCAGCAGCAACCAGGGCCATGTCAGTGGAGCAGGTAAAAAGTACTACTTATGACATTGTTTATAAATTCAGGACAATCTAAACTTTGGAAGTGCTATTGGCTCAGAAGTAACTGGATATGTGACCAAAAAAAAAAAATTGCTAGTTCACAAAGACAGCTGCTGACTAGGATCCAAATTAGTGAGATTCCGCATCTTTCAAGTATTGAGGAAGGAGCTCTCAACGCACTGGTCATTGACAGCTCCGATGTATTAATGCTTAGTCTGTACAAATTCTATCAGAGCTCAGTGGTTCCACTTCAGTCTGTTTGTAAACCTCGTTTTCCCATCATAAGCTTCAGCCTCGCAGCTTCAGCTTTCCCCTTGGGTTTTATAATAAACAGCAATGAAAATTCACAGTAGGGTGAGACCTGGCAGGCAGAGACTTGGTACGTTTGCAAATACAGCTTCTTCTCTTATTACAAACTGAGAGGGTGGGGGAAGGTCCATTCTCTTGATTATAATATTAAGTAAGATGGGCAGAAGGAAGCTAAGCTTGCAGGGCTCTGTTGCACATGTGTGTATTCTCTTGCTTAAAACACACGTGTCAGTTTACATGTGTTTACATACAGTATGTATCCCTATATATTTCCCATAGTCTGTTTCACAGGTACAGAATGTCAGGTAAATTCTTATTGAAATATCTGTTTGTATTTAAAATGATTTGTTTTAAATTTTCATCTGCATTATGTTCCAATAAACGTTTAAATGTATTCACTTACATTAGTTGAAGACTGAGATAATGACAAGGATTATATACTTGTCAAACTAAGTAACGTAGATATTGTGTGTTGTGAATTTTCTAGGCTAAATGAGGAGAGAATTAAAGAATTACTTGATAGAGTTGACAGATTCAATAGCATCCATAGGTGCTGTACCCGGATTAAAATAAAGATCCTTTTTTTTAAGTCTGAACACACTGTCTTCCTCCTTGTCCCTACAGCATCTTTAAGTGATGAGTTTCTCAGATAGTCTCAGTAAGACACTTAAAATAACTTGTTGAATTTGCAAATTAGCCAATATTCACTAAATGAATGTTGAATTTTATATGTGTAGGGGGTAGGGAGGAAAGAAGGAGAGAGAGAGAGAGAGAGAGAGAGAGAGAGAGAGAGAGAAAGAAAGAATGAAAATGAAAGAAAGGTGTTAATATATGTGTCAGTGCAAGGAAGGGGGTGTGTGTTTGGAGCTGGAGGACAACCTCAAATGTCATCCTTAGGAAAACTGCACATCTCCTTTGAGATGGGGTTTTCCATTGGCCTGGAGCTAATTGGTGATACTAGGCTAGTGCAGCTGGCCAGCGAGCCTTTGGGATCCATCTATCTCTGTCTTCCCAGCGCTGGGGTCACAAGAATGCACCACACACCCAGCATTCTTATGGGAGTTCTGGGGCTGGAACATAGATCTTCATGATTGTGAGGCAGGCTCTTTACTCACTGAGCTATCTATCCTCCCTGTCCACTAGCTCTACATAGTTTTAGAAGAGTACATTCCTAAATAAATGCCTTTGTATAGTATGAGTTTGTTTGGATGTAATTCACAATCTGAACGATGAGCTCATTCTTACTCTTCCTCAGCTTACAGATGTCCTTATTAATGAAATTCTCCATGGAGCTGATGGAACCAGTATCAAGTGTGGAGTCATTGGAGAAATTGGCTGCTCCTGGCCTTTGACTGACAGTGAGAGAAAGGTACTTCAGGCTACAGCTCATGCCCAGGCTCAGCTTGGCTGTCCTGTCATCATCCATCCTGGAAGGAGCCCAGTTGCACCGTTTCAGATCATCCGTATATTGCAAGAAGCAGGTGCAGACATCTCTAAAACAGTTATGTCCCACCTTGACAGGTAAGTAGTATGGTACCTTACAAATCACTGTAAACCACTGAACAACTAAGGGGTTATCAAAATGAAAAACCACCAGTGATGAGATAAATGAAACACTAATTACATAAGGAGATGCAGAGACTACCTGGAAGGTGATATTTTTTTCCAATTCTGAATGTCAAACAAAGGGATTCACAAGTACAACTATCACATACTCTACTGATTATACCACAGTTCCTGGAAGGCAGGATTTATAAAGGCTTGTAGTAAGCATAAATTAAAGTCAGTGTTGCAAAGCTGGGTAGTGGTGACACACGTCTTTAATTCCAGCATTTGGGAGGCAGAGGCAGGTGGATCTCAGTGAGTTCTAGACTAGCCTGATCTACAAGAGCTACCTCCAGGACAGCCTCCTAAGCTACTTTCCCTCTCTGTGAGTCTGAACACCAACTACTTCGAATGAATGGGAACAGACACAGCTTTTTGTGGTTGTTTACGTTTCTGACAGGAGAGCCTGTCCTACATCACACACCCGCTGAGTTCCCTCCCTCACACTTGGTAGGCACACAGTGATAACTGTAGATTCTCAAGACTCTCTCCCATCTTTCCCATCTCATCAGCTGAGATGAAGATAAGCATGCACTCTTGAGAACTCTGTGGCTCAAGGTGCCTCCCTATTCACTGACAGGGATGGATGTTTCTTTTGCTGGTGGAGCATCTCCAAACTGATCTCACTCCTTGTTTAGTCCCAAGCCCTGGCTCCCTTAGCTCTCCCCACCTGTCATGCAGTCCTTGCATTGCCAGCCCTTACTGCTCATTTTCTCACCACCTTTGTTGCTTCTGCCCCTGAACAAGTCTTAACCTTGACAGCAGCCTCAACCAGGCAGTTAAAAGTATGAGACATTCTTTTTTCTCTTCAGTATTATTCAGTGTTTTACATGGACTCTGTTGGAAAGGTTTTCTGTGAACGCTTCGTCTGCCACACTGCTTGAAACTGGATCAAGATGCTCCTTCAAGCACAATCTGACTATCCTTCTTTTTTCACAGTTAGACATTAACTTAGAAAGATTATGCTTGGCACACTTAGAAAATAAGTTTCCATTGTAAATGTGAAATAAACCTGAACTACCACAACAATATTTCCTGGCTTATAAAAATTAAACAATATTTTAAAAAGTACTAGTATTGATTTCCTAGTGGTGTGAAATATGTTTTTCAGTAGACCTATATATACATTACATATACACACATACACATTTATATACTTTTTACATATTGAATGATAAGGATACATTTATATATATATATATATATATATATATATATATATATATATATCCGTTGGCTACAAGTTCATTATTTGCCTCTTGGGTGGTTCAGGATTGACATGACCCCACACAAGTCCCAAGCATACGAGTACATCCTGAGGCAATTGAAAGTGCAACTGCCCACTCTGCACCCATGGTATGGATCATTTGGGATTCCAGTGCATGACAAAGAAATACATGGAAATGCTTCCATGGGGAAGTAACCAGAGAAAATAGCTTTTGAAAACAAACCAAATAAAGTAACAGAGAAAAATGAGGTGGCAAAAGTAGGAAGTGGGTGGCTGTTTGAAGTGACTGTTCACAGCAGACCAGTTCCAGGCTGGAGTTTGACTAGGTCAGCTTTCCACAGGCTGTCTGAGCTCTGCTGGGCAGTGCACACAATCTGATCTGTGTGGAAAGAGCAGGGGTGTCAGCTCTTTGTAATGGGGACAACTCACAAAAGAGCTGGCCACAATGTGGAAGCTATAAAAAGGAGACATTCCCTAAAGCACAGCCTCTAAAACTCCCCAAACCAAACATGAGGCCATTTCATTCTCCCACCATGTTTCTGGGCATAGGATGGAAGGTTCTAAAGCTGTTACCTGTTAAGTTTGGGAAGTGGTAGCTTGGGGTGGCCGCTGTGCCTTTTGGCTCACTTTGAAACACAAGGGCTTTGGGTTGAGCAGAGTGGTCTTCAGCCTTGACTACCTGTAAAATTACTTTAGTTTTCCCTTCAATTGTAGATTTCATCTGGGGGAACCCAGAAAATATTTCAGTGTGCTCCCAATCCTATGGAAGCAGTTAAATATTTCTAAACATTTATAAAATCTGCATGAGGATTTACCCAGACAGAGAGACAGGCAGACAGATACAGATGGATGGATAGATGGACACACACACACACACACACACACACACACACACACACTCCCACAGACACAACCATTCACACACCACTGCAACAATAAGAACTTTTTGCATGGTTATCCAAGGGGGCAGTTGAGATGCTGAAAAGAGTTAATGGATGATCATCTCTTTGAAGACCTCCAAACCACACTGTTATCATGTGACCATTGGTTACCAGCTAAAGATCATTAAACAGGCAACAACTTGATAAAATAAATCTGTTATGTTCCAAGCCCTCCCCTAACCATCTGTTTCACTTAAGGCACATGAGTCTGTTGAAGAACAATTTGACTGCTGTGAATTGAACCCTTAGGGGCATCAAAAAGGACTGTCCTTGAGAGTGATAGCCACCCAAAGTCAGCATATGTTAGAAAATAATAGCATTCCTGTGTTATTATTTAGGCTCTTCGGGGGAAAGTGTTTGCACCATTAAACATTTAAAATAATTTTACCACCTGCAGAAAATCTAGCCACATTTCCAGGTGGTAGCTATCAACAGCACCACCTTGGGGCAGGTCTAATATGGACTATGTGTGCTTTAAAGAATTCCCCACCTGGGCTGGAGAACGGCTCAGTGGTTAAGATCAATGGCTGCTCTTCCAGAGGACCTGGGTTCTATTCCCAGCACCCACATGGAAGCTCACACCTGTCTGTAACTCCAGTTCCAGGGGATCTGGTATCCTTACACCAATGCACATAAAAATATAGTTAAATAAAGTATGTTTTAAAAAACAGAATCCCCCCAACAGCTGTTCTTTTTGTCATTTTCAAACAGGGCTTACTATTAATGCACTATTAGAGTAGTTGTAACCATGAATATACAACAGAATTATTTCTTTACCAGAGAAAGCTGAGTGGGAAAAAATATAAAACATGGTTCAAATAACAAATATTTGGGAACTATTTGCAAATTCAAATTTTGAGCTTCTTGGAGGGCCACAGACAGGTGCTAGTCCTAAATCTTTTATCTTCTTGGATATCTATTTAACAAGCCAGAGAGTTTTGATGGACATCCAGGGTCTGATTAGGGACATGATAATTAAGTGCAGGCAGATAGCACATCACTCTCTTTGAAAATTGCTCCCTGGGGAAGGAAAAGGAATTTGACCCAAGGGTATGTGAAAGACCAGAAAGAAAAACTCAGAATGATCCAAAAACATCCGTTCTCTTTGCTTTTGATCACGCATGCCAAATTGGCCAAACTCTTGGAAGGATACAGATCTGACACTTTTTTCCCATGCTGTTAATTAAATGAAAAGAGTGGAATATCACTTCATTCATACAACAAATATTTGAGTGACTAATTCCCGTGTGTATATATCAAACATTGGGCTTCCATTTTGTCAAAGTGATTATTTAATTATAATTTTGGTGACTTTTAACCTTAAGATTTTCTTTGAAAAGGCACAAAAAAATTCTGCAGGCTCCTCAGAACTGTACACTTTTAATTTGTATAAATTCTAATGAATTAATTTGAAGTCATTCAGATAGTTCCAAGAAAAATGTCTGGCAAATATAATTGGACAAAACATCTTTGTATTGCTAAATGGTACAGCAGCATTCTTCAAAAGAATGTTTGGAGCACTGTGCACCTACAGTGGTGTGCAGTGTTCAGAAGGCTATAAATGCAGCTCCATTTCTTATCAGTTTGTAATTAGGAGAATTCATGTACACGCATTGCAGACATGATGTGCAAAGTGAGTCAAGAAGACTAAGCGTGCATTGTGTAGCATGTGCAGTACGTATTTAATGTGCAGGAAAAACAATGTCAGTCAGGTTGGCTGAGATCCAACTAGAGTGAGAAATTAAAGAAATTGGTGCAGGCAACAAAGGATGAGCAAGTGAGAACTTTTAATAGAAAATATTTACTAATAGCACTTTTTTTTCCTACAGTGACTAATGCTCACTAGCATGTCCTCTGTTTTCATTATAACAGAAAATTCACTGGGTAGTGTGTGTATGTATATCACATGCATGATAACCTAGGTGTTTTTTAACATGGCATCTTTGCTGCTTTTGTGTACATGTGGATTCTGGTAACACATTTTATACAAAGTATACATTTTAATAAAGTCCTTACTGATACAAACGTTGAATGTATTTTAAGTTAAAATTATGTGACTTTGGGCTGGAGAGATGGCTCAGACACTAAAGTCTAGGCTCACAACCAAAATTATGTGATGACATTGGCTACAGTGATTCTTTCATTAATGCGGCACAGACTGGATACAAGAGAGAAGTGATGAAGTTAGATTCCCTGGTTTCATGTTTTATTTGCTTGCCGAGTGACTTTCAATAAGTTATTTAAGCCTCCAAATCTGTTTGTTTAAAGGGGTTAAGAAAAATAATTCGTGTATGTGCAGGTGCCCTTATGCACATGGAGGCCTCACGAAGACATCAGGTACTCCTTGAGACATGATCTTTCACTCAACCTGGCACTAGGCTGGTGGCCGGTAAATCTTGGCAATCCTCTGGTCTCCAGCTCCCACAGCAGTAGGGATATAGGTATGTTGATACACCTAGCTTTTTACAGTGATTCTGGGGATTTGAACTTGGGCCCTCTTGCTTGCATAGCAAGTCCTCTTCCCCACTGAGCCATCTCTCCAGCCAAGAAAAATATTTCTTAACCCTTAAAGTGCCATGAAAATGTCTTTCTATTATTGCTTACCATGGGTTTTCTTTTAAGATGGGTCCTACTTAAAAGACAGACACAGAGATAAAAAGAAGAAAAAATCCAGCCAAGCCTTTCACAAACTGAAAGGCAGCTTAACTTCTATGTACAGACACTGTCCGATAAACTGCAACTATACT